GCGCAGAACTTCATAACAAAAAATTGAGAGGCGTTGAACATTCAGTGTGTATATACGTGCAGGCACTTGCACGTTCCACACTCGATACCTTTGGAAATATATCTTTTGACGTGACAGAAGAAATACCCACTCTAAATTGTTTTGAATGTGTGCACTGTGAAAGAACGTTCTCTTTCACAAGAGTTCTGTAGATGGAGACCATATCTACATTTTCGTATGTCGTCAGTAGTAAGTCGAAGTAAGTGGGAAAATATTTCAACTGTTATTGAACAAATCAGCTTAATATTCAGCATCTAAAATATTACTGCATTGTATAGACATTACAGACGATCATGGACGTATATTAATTCCACAATTTTCCAGCACAGTGAGTTATTTATTAGCCACGTGAAATCAAGTGATAAATTACACAGCATACTGAGTAAGAACTTTATGAAAGATTTTTTTCGACAAGGGTACCAGTTTTTAGTAGGAGGAAAGCGTTAACATGTTTTGGTGAATGGGAGGATATTCAAAACCAAATGTAAGGCCACATGCAGTCCGTGTGTCGCGAGTTGGACATCCCTGACTTTAAGATTGTGAAGGAACTGAACTTTAGGGGGTTTTCTACGACTCGTCAAAATTACACTCAATTTCGATATAAAACTCTTTTCCAGTTAATCTGTTTTTAATTTGCTAGACATAGTTGATCCATGCAATTTTTAAGTAAATCTAGTTTCGAAACTTCTTGAAAATAGTTCGTATTAAATGCATAAGTTTTTCCGAGGTTAATTCTGAGACTGTACTAACGAACATAAGAAGTATGATACAAGATCTGAGAATTATAAAATTCGAATTGACAGAATTTTGGTGTTACTTCTAACATTTCAACATATTATAAGCCAGTCCACATGAGTGTAAATAGTCAAGACGCTATAATTAAACATAAATTTAACAGAATTACCAGCGTTTCCGCAGGTTCTTAAGGAGATTAATGGGACAGTACTTCAAAATTGGCCACAGCAGCTTCTTAAATTTAAATATCTCCTGATACATCGTATCCTGTTTCTTAGCAATTGAAACAGCGAGTAACCAACAACTGTGAACAGAGATGATCACGACGTTGCAGCAATTTATTGAAAACGATGCGCAAGTCAACAATTTAGGTCGTGTCATGACTGAGGCGGTCGGTCGCCGGTTTCTTTCCGCAGATATTTGGATTCGCGCCATTCAGCACACCTGGGATTTATGGTGGACAAACTGGCACTGGGAAGGACTTTCCTATCAGATCTTCGATTATACTCTTCTTAACTGACTTCAATACATTGGAAAACTAAACGTTGTTGCGCGGCAATGTTCGCTTGGCACTCGAGACAACACGTCACTTGTCAAGCCATATTTAATTTCAACGGTCACAGTTCATGAGAATCATTGATATTTTTATGTCAGTGCACTGCCTTGGGGAACTTACTTCCTGTTTCGCCAATGTACTGCTCAGCCCGGGGGTACAGGGTGTTTGAAAAGTAACTCCTTGCATTATTTTCCTTATAAAAAGCTAAAACATTTTGCGAATAAAGAAAGGTATCTTAATACTGCACATCACTTTATGTAATTTAATACGGAATATCCTACACCTCCTCATATTCACGTACTTTTTACCCACATTTCTATGTGCCATTTTGAATTGAGACCTCGCTCTGAGGTTTACCACTGTCCTTTCACCTGAAAAATGGCAGGGAAATGCCGG